TAGAATATAGATACCACTTTTTAGGGATTTGCCGGTGAGATTTCTTGACTCTTTAGCTTGAATTTTGTTGTGACGATGATACCTTGCTCGGATGGACGAAAGCTTAGCATATTTTCACCGGAATCGAAAGAGATTACCTCGGCAACAGCGTCAGCATGAATCTTTCAGTAAAGCCAATCGTCTTCTGGCGGAACCGACCTTCGAATCTCTTCACCCAACACTTTTACTCGAAATGGAAGTAAGCTCAACAATAAAGTATGTGATATTGTCTGCTATGATTATGTAATGCTCATTTCATGAGAGGTGTGATGGTCCTAACCAGACGCGAAGCTATTCCAGCCTCTTCTTTTTCAGTGTCTCTTCCGGCCTTTGCCTCTCTCTCCCTCTCTCCTTAAGCCTATTCAACAGCCATAAATAGTTCCTACTCAATTCCCTGCACTCATTCATCTTATTCAGAACGCTGGTTTTCCGGTCAATTTCTAGAGATTCCCTAATCTTACTCTTTGATTTCAAGTCTCCGTAACCAGCAAAACGTTTGGTTTTAGACAGCTGGAAGAGGCAGTGAGCAAGAGAAGGAGGTTGGAATAGCCTCTTATGACATGAGCATTACAAATACATAATAGACAATAGCACAAACACAGACATGTGTCAAAATTTTAGGATCGTAGACCAGTTTAAGTAAGTAGGGAAGAAAACAGCAACCACCGAGTCCAGTTTAGGTTACTAAATTAACTGAACTCACTTGCAAGCATGTCGAGCAAGTTTGAGGTAGCTAATCAAATTGTGAGATTCCTCATTCTGATGGCATGGAAAGTGTGAAAAAAGTGACCAGGGTTGCAGTCGGCCACATTTTCTCTTGGGTTGGTATATTTTTCCTCTATTGCGTAAAGTATGTCTTCTTGCTTGGATGATGTCTGTCACTGCGGTACAGACAAAAGCTTGGCACACGTTCATCGGAGGGTGTAAGGACGGTAAGCCGAGGATTTGTTTGCACAATCCAGCAGTCTTCACTCCGTAGGACTCCTCTTTCGCTTTGCGCTGAGACCATTCACAAATTCCTTCCAACCACCTTTTCCTCAGAAATGCAAAGTTATCTTAAATGGCTTTCATTTCGTGTTCAATTGCATGATGAAGAAATTGATGCATCGTTCGACCTCATCATAAAACGACGGTTGGGTCTTGTTGCCATTATACTCGATGCTACTGCTGTAAATGGAGTATATTTCATAATTATCCCTATTTGTTAACTAAGAACCCGGGCCAGCTTAAAGTCGAAGTGTATCAAATCAAATGATGATAAAGCCCTTTGAAAGACCGGGATAAATGAAATTCAATTGCATGCAAAAGCCTTTACTCGCGTTATCATGTGAGATTCAACCCTCGGTCTCATATCACCATCATATGCCTTTATCCTGAAAGATATCAAGGGAGGCAATGATGACTGCCTTCCAGAGGTAGACTCTTCAGAAGCGTGTTCATACTCGAAATTAGAGTTCCATTTAAGGCATTTAAGAACCAAATAACAATGCTTGGCTCAAAAGTCGTTAAGCTCATAACTATCGTATAGTCATATAAAGTAGGCTTTAAATCTATCAGAAAGTGTTGAATGAGAGTTCCAGTCACTCTTCAGTAAAAAGTGATGAAGGCCTGAGGGTTCAATTTCCCCAGACAAGGTCGAAACCGCAGTCCATTCCAGCAGGGATGAGGTACCATTTGAGAAGTAAGGATAGATGGAGTTCATATGGTTATGGGAAACATTCAACCCTATGCGACTTATGGTGACTGGAAATCTTATAGTTTACTTAATGACTGCATAGAATAGTTTCGAATTAGATAAAGATTCCATCCGAATCGGCTTGCTGAAGTGGCAGATCTGGCCTGCTTAACTCTGAAGATTGCATTTTCGACAGCCTTGACGACAATTCCCATGTCGATTTCTTCTCTTTTGTCTTAACTGCTTGTAGAGTCGCCTGGATGGCCTACTCGACTATGAGGTACCAAGTGCAGAGAATTTTAAAGGCATGCGACATCTGCTGACCAGCATAAATGACAAGATGTCAAAGCACCGACTGCTCGTGGACCGATACGCTGGGCTCGACTTGTCCGAAGACAAAATTCCGGTGTCGGATAGAGTTGATGCGAAGTTTAACGAACTTGTGATTCGGTAATTTCGTCATTTTTCTCTATTTTAAACCAAAATGATTAATATATTCTATTAATTTGCCTTTATCATTCGGTAGAATTTTCTGTCCCAGTGACTATTCATAAGAGCTTCCAAAGCACAAATCAACCACCGGTCTGCCCAACAGTCATATCCTCTTCAAATGCACTTCCTTCCTTTGTTCTCCAACTATTCGGCTCATTCAAGAAGCCTTGCGTGGCAAAAATGATCGTGAGAATTAAAAAGAAATAGAATAATGCCATTTCTAATTAAAACAGTAGCCTTCAAAATTTACAGCTTCTAAAACATACCATCTTTTTGGGCTTGGCCATTATAATACATAAAAATTGTGGAATAACAAGTTTTCATTTATTAATCTCTCTCTCTGCGTCACTGTCTCCTTGTCTCTGTTTCTTTATAGCTGTCCCTCTGTCTGTCAATCCGTCTCTCTCTCTCTATCTTTCTTTCTCTCTCTATCTAAAAGCTTGTCCTTTTGCTCTTTTAGAACTTTCTGCTGTTGTCTTTTAACCTTAATGAATGGCTTTTCTGTTATTTCTTTGACTGGCCGTGCAGCATGCCTTCATTGTCAGCTTCAAGAAATTCAGCCTACGGCTGCGCAGACGAAGAGAGAATCAGCAAATTCGATTCAAAGCTGATTCCGGTGAGTGTTGAATATAAAACACTGGATCATTTTGATCTGGACCCAGTTTTGTCTAGACCTGGTTCATCTTACAACCGGATCCGGTTGGAGTGATGAGATACTCAATAGCTGAGGCATCAAAAGAGTCTGCAATCTTAATATACTCATGGTTTAGGTAAATATTTGCCTCGTATCGTAACCTTATCAGGTTGAGTGAAAAAAAGGAATAAAACAAGAGTAGCCTGTAATCGTTTAATAAGATGCAGGAGTGATTGTTGAATTTCCCACAATGAAATAAATAGATTTTACGATGCCACTAAATTTCGCACAGCCTTAACTCTCAAAAGGCTTTCATATTCACTCTGGATTGTAATTGTGACTGCTTTAAGGCCTCGACACCAGCCCCAATTGAATTCGAACAATGAGGGGCGTACATGTAAAATGGTAAAATTCCCCTGCGCCACACACCAACAAGTTCCATCGTGTTGCAGGACGGATCTAGTCATTCAAGCGTTCCCAAACTTTACATTTAAATAATAGAACTGTTGGGTTTCGAGGAATCTCTCGTTTCATAATTGTTGAGTTTACTTCCATTTCGAGTAAAAGTGTGCGGTGAAGAGATTCCAAGGTCAGTTCCACCAGAAGACGACGGCGGATTCCTCTTAACCAGCTGTCGATTGGCTTTACTGGAACATTCATGCT